TTCTTGTTCATACTCGTCTTTTTTTTTTCCCTTCTTCTTGGTTGGCAGCGCTTTAGCGAGCTTTTCTTGGGTTTGTTGATATGGGTTGCAAGCAAGCGTTTATTTGGTTTGATTGTATTGTTGAAGACGCCGTACGCATGCGCATACGAGTAAGTGGGTGAGTGGGTGAGTGAAGTTGAAGAATATCAAGCTCGTCTCAATCTCAATCTCGCTCTATGAATACTTACCTACCCCTCCCCCTCCTCCCCCACACCCTCCCACTCCCCCTCCCCCCAAAACCTACACCACACGACCTCTCCCCGCAGCGGATCCAGCACAGCTGCCAAATGCGTCGCCTCGTTCGCGACGGGGTAGGCCGTCAGCCAGCGCAGTACGTCCTCTAGGTGCACGTATGGCTCCTCATGTCCGCCACGATGACGGCGATGGCGTCTAAACCTCGTCTCCGCACGCCGCCACGCCGCCTCCATGCATTCCCGCCGCTCGTCCGACTCGGCCAGCATGTCGCGTAGCAGAGGCAGCTGGACCAGCTTCGCGCGGCCCGCGTTACCACCACCACCACCACCACAAGCAACAGCGCCAGGGACGTCGCTGTTCGTCACCGCAATAAACTCGCTCGACGTGCGCAGCGCAGCGGTGCGCAGATCCTTCTCGAAGACGGCGGTTTCGGCCCCGTCGCTGAAGATCAGGTATGCGGCTGTGGAGGGGGTGGGGGGGAGGGCGGTCTTGATGTCTTGTAAGCTTGGCTGCGGTGGCGGAGGCGGGTGGTGGTCCAGCTTGCGATGTCCCGAGTGCAGACGCCGATGATGGAGGTGTTTGCGCCTATGCCTCTCTTTCTCCTCCGGAATAAGGACCTGCCTCAACACAGCCGCGACGCTGGCGCGCCACCCGAGCAGGACGAGGGCGAGGTGCGCCCAGAAGCGCAGATTGTGCACGCGGCTGGCGTCGTCGTTGTGGTAGGGCCGGAAATTGAGCGACATGCTGAGTCCGCGCCGCACGCCCGTCAGCACGCCCACGAAGCCGACGTACGTGATGGCGCGCGCGACGACGGCGCCGTGGGGCTTGCGCACAAAGTCCAGCTGGACGATGACGCGGCGCAGCGCGTCCATGTCCCAGTCGAGGGTGCGGAAGTGCAGCATTCGCGTCGGTGGGGCGGCGCTTGCGCCTGCGCTGTCCGGGTCCCTCACGCGCACCCCCCCGCTCGTACACCCCATAAACAGATCCAACAAGACATTAAACGCAACCAGCATCTCGAGGCCGACACCACTGGCGCGACTGATGCCGCGCAGCTCGCGCGTCTGCTCCTTGCTCCCGACCCTCCGCAAAAAGAGCTTTGCGAGGCGCTGCGCCGTGCGCGGGGAGAGGCCCGTCTCTGCTGCTATTTCGGCGAAGAGCGGGAGGAGGTGCTGCAGCTGCGGCCGGTAGGCGGCGATGAGCGCGTCGTAGCGGTGTTCGGGCGCGAGGGACAGGTCGATCGTGTAGGTTGGGGGTGGGAGGAGCCCTGGCTGGGTGGGCGGTGCGGGAGGCGTGGGTGTGTCAGGCGCCTCGTCAATCGCACTCAGCACCCTCCGCCTCCTCCTCAGCAGCGGGCGCGTCGTGCGGATGCGGTCTTCTGGCTCCCATGCCGATGTCGTTGTCGCTGCCATGGTGGGGGTAAGGGCGGGGGCGAAGGCCGCGCTTGCGATTGCGATTGCTGCTTCTTGTGGTGGTTGTGGTGGTGAGGGCGGCATGTGTGCGTGGTAGGTGGGTGGGCGGCGAAAATGAGGAAGAGGACAAGACGGAGACGGAGGCGGCGACAGCGACAGCGGCGAAGAAGAAATGCGTGCAGATGCGTGGGTGTTGGTAGGTAGTGAGAGAGAGTTGGAGAGACCTAGTTGATGAGGGACAGCGCGTACGTAGATATGAGGTGAGGCACCTACCTAACCTGCCTTGCTAAACACCCAATTGGGCAGGCAGGCAAGCAGGCAAACAGACAGATAGACCCCGCACTCCCCGCGTGCGAGTTTGTTTGCGAAACACGACCTGCAGCACAGGCACATACATGGTCCAATCCATTTCAGCCACACACGCACCAGACACTCACACTCAACCCTGCACGCCGCGACAGCACGCCGCACTCTGCGCATCCACCGCCCCCACCTCCCGCCGACAAAAACACGACGACACAACCTCCACATCCGCAACCGCAACCGCCAGTCTAAGCATCGGCTTCACGATCCCCGCCTCCGCCTCCCTCCCCAACCGCACCAAACACTCATGGTACCCATGCAGCGCCCAGACGTTATTCGGGTGCTGCCGCGCGCGGGCAAGTGTCGCATCGAGCCCTAGGTCCGCACGGTACGCGTCGGCGGCCTCCTGGACCCTCCCCTGCTCAAGCAAGAGCGCCGCGTACGCGTGCCGCGTCGGCTGCATCCAGCCCCAGGGCTCCGTGTAGTTGAGGCCGTCGTCGAGGGCGATGCTCTTGCGCAGGTGCGCAAACGCAGCGTCATGCTCGCCCTTGCGGTACGCGATCTCGCCGTCAAGCATCGCTGCCGCGACGGCTAGGATCGCCGTCGACTTGTTCGGGAAGTCCATGCGGGAGTCTGGGACGCGGGCGAGGGCGGCGAGGAACTGCTCGCGCGCCTGTTCTGCGTCCGCCACGTCGCCTAGAGCCGCGTGCGCGACGCCCTTGGCGTAGTGCGCCGTTGCCGTCGTCACGCTGTAGAGCTCTTGGTCTTCGGGCAGAGGCAGCGCGAGAATGTCCTCCCACCGCCCGAACCGGATCAGCACGTGCGGACGCACCGACATGAACGTCTCCAGCCAGTCGGCCATGGGCGGCGACGTCTGGCGCAGCAGCTCCTGCGGCAGCGCCGCCTCCATGCGCTCGACGGCCTCGAACGCGACGCGCGACTGGCCCGCGAACATGGCCGCGTAGATCAGCGAGTGGTAGTTGTGCATGCGGTAGAGCGTGTAAAAGTTCATTCCGCCGGTGCGGGCGAGGAACTTTTCGTCGGCGAGCACGGCGTCCGTGTTGCTGGCGATGGAGCGGCGGTAGTCGCCAATGAGTATGTCGAGGTGCGACGGCATGTGGTTCATGTGGCCGGCGTCGGGGCACAGCGCGCGCAGGCGGTCGGCGGGCGGGATGGCGATTTCGGGCGTCGGCGACATCTCCATCAGGTGGATGTACAGGTGCAGCAGGCCGGGGTGGTAGAAGCCGTCGGGCTGCGCCAGCGCGCGCTCCAGCACCGCCTTGGCCTCGAGGGTGCGCGCGGGCTTGGGCGCCGGCTTCCCCGTCGCCAGGTCCCACAGCGCCCAGGGCGTGATGTTCATGAGGGCGTCGGCGTACAGCGCGGCGACGTCGACGTCGGCCCCAAACGCCTTGTACGCGTCGCCCATGGCCTCGGCATACGCGACGTTGTGGGCGGCGTAGTCGGTGTCGTGCAAGCTGCGCGGATGCCGAAACTGCACGGCGTGCACGAGGGCGCGCTCGAGCGGGGAGGCGCTGGCGGCGTTGGCGTTGGCGGCCTCGACGGCGCGCGCGATGCGGTCCAGCGTGCGCTGCAGGTCGGCCTTGTCGAACAGCTCCCACGGCTTGTTGTAGTTGGGCCCGCTGGCGTAAGCAACGCCCCAGTGCGCGATGGCGCAGGTGGGGTCGGTGTCCAGGGCGCGCGCGAAACACGCGGCCGACTCCTCGTGATTGAAGGCGTAGCCCCAGTTCAGGCCGCGCGTGAACCACTTTTGCGTGTCTGGACTGGTGGTGGTGATGGGGCGGGCGTAGGCGCCGAGGTCGTAGTAGCCGTCGCTGTTGCTGGTGCTCATTTTTGCGACGTCTCTCGGTGTGTGTGTAAAGGTAGATGCAGTGGTTGGACGGGGTGGCAGGCTCTTTTATAAGCCCTCAGTGTCGCGCGCATGGTCGGGCGGCGAGTGGGGCGGGGGTGCATTAGGCATTAGGGCCGGTGACGATGGCAGTCTTAGTCGGCGTGTCGTGATGCTGTAACGGGATTCTGTACGGCGTTCTGTTTCGGGGGAGGAGGAAAGGTGGGAGGCGGGGATGATGTGATGTGAATGATGTTGGGGCAGAGAGCGGGTTGCCGAGGCGGGCACCCGTGATGGGTGACCGAAGCGGGGGGGACGAGCGCGGGCGGGTCGGGCGGGTTAGCGACGCCTCGGAAACTTTACAGGAAATGTCTCCGAAATGTTTCCATCGTCTGTCTGCATACAAGACCGTCACGTCGGCGGAAGGAAGTAAGTAGAGGTAGGTGTTCTTTGCTGCTGTGTCTTTACGCTTCCGCACGCTTGTGCTTGTAGACTAGGTATTTTCTATCTATTTTCATACAATACTCCAAGTCTTTGAGAAACAACAACAACAACAACAAAGCATACATACATACATGACCACCACTACCATTACTGCCCCTACTATTCTAGGTAGGATTGCCAATCACCACACCAAACAACGCCAACGCCAACGCCAACCCGTCGGCGTTTCCAGTCTACACATCACTCGCGCTCCATAAGCCAAGCCGATGCCATCGGAAGCAGTGACAAAGCCAGGTACGCCCTAGGTAGGTAGGCACAACGTCGAAAACGCACACAACCTATATAAACACGGCCACAGCTGCTTCTTCCCAGCCAGTCTTCAATCGCCTCAGCACAACCTTAGCACTTCCAATTCCGCACCCACACCCCACCCCCCAAGACAATCACTAACGCACCACGCCAACCGTACCAGCCACGCCACCGGCACCGCCCCCGTCATCCAAGACGGCAGCGTCACCCTCGCCGAGTCCGGCGCCATCATCGACTACCTGCTCGCGAAGCACGCTTCTCGCGGGCAGCTGCAGGTCGCTCCCTCGGCGCCCAACTTCGCCGCCTACGTCTTCTGGCACCGCTGGAGCAGCGGCAGCCTCATGCCCGCCACCGCCCTGCCCCTCTACTACCGCAAGGCCGGGCTGCCTGTCGATGGGCCCGCCATGCGCATGGCCTACGACATGCTGGCGCAGCAGTTACGGCTGCTGGACCAGCGCCTGCGCGAGGCCAAGTGGCTTGCTGGCGATGACTTCACCGCCGCCGACGTCTACGCCGTGTTTAGCGTCTCGACTATGCGCGTGTTTGCGCAGTTTGGCCTCGAGGGCTACGAGGGCATTCTAAGGTGGTTGGGTGATGTGGCGCTGCGCCCGGCGTTCAGGGCCATGATTGAGAAGGGCGAGGCGGGCGAGCAGAGGGGCGGGGCTATGCCCATGGTTTACAGCGAGGTCCCGAAGCCCATGTGGTAGATGCGTCTCGGTACATGCATACGCTGTTGTAGACTGCTGGGTAGCTGCTAGGTTGTTAGATCAATAAGTCGTTTCCGGTAGCCTGTTTGACCTGGTGAGATGCACTTACTTGAACAGTCTTTACTCGTGCATACGAGGGCCCCTCCTGAACTCTGCGGCCACTCATCCTGTCAACGCACGACTTTTCTGAACGTTTCACACCTCTTTCTCCCTCTATTTTCAACCACACTGTTCGGGACTGACGATGAAGACTGCCGCAGAGCTCAAGTAAGGATCTTGTACAGAGCTGGTGACACCAATATTGACGACGATCCTCATTGGAACACCAGGAATAACGAAAGCCGTCCGGCATCCGCGATGCCTCCCAACATACGTCTCACTTGAAGAGGTAAGGACAGGGAGGGCCATCGCAAATCCATTCCTTCTCCCTCTCACACGGCCTATTCCCCTTCTCACACTCTTCCTTTGTGCGCCTGACAAGGTCCGCTTCCGACTCCGCGTCCCACATGTAGTCGCAGGTCGGCATTGGGAACTGCAGCTGGGAGTACGGAAGCAGGTCTTCGTCATCATTCCCCTCCATGGCGTCGTCCCGGTATATTCGCCAGACCTGGTACAGCGACAGCGCGAAGCGCTTTGCCTCTTCAACTCCGGTCCAGATGTAGAGGGCGGTGAACGGGTCCGGGTCTGGTTGGTCGTACTGCGCGAGCATTTTGTGGTGGTTGAACATGCCCCGTTTGAGACAGCTCTTGACCAAGGCGATTAAAACTTCGGGGTTGAAATTGGGAATTTGATGCGCTCGGTCGTGCTTGTTGACCATCAATGCGAAGATGACGCCCAGCAGAATGCCCTGGTACGTTCCTATTGGCCAAGGTGTACCGTCATAGCCTCCTTCTGCCTCGGAAATGTCCCATACAGCCTAAAACCCCGCATGAGCATTTACAACAACACGGATCCGGTCGACTTACCCTTTGCCCCTTGACGGAGTGTCTCAGCTTCAGGTACATTTCTATCGCGGCGTCGCGCGCATGTTGTTCTCCGCTCGTCCAGAGCCCTATCATGACAACGGACTGCACAAGCACAGGCAATTCCCTCCCTGGGCTGAAGGTGGCCTTGTGGAGAAAGGGCCAGGTGGGGTGGAAATGCTTGAAGTAGACTTCGACATGGTGGTAGACATCGCGGGACCACTGGCCACAATCGCTGGAGGGGTTCGGCGGGATCAAAGACCCGCTCGGGAGTCCTTTCTTTTCCGCATTGCGTATCTCGTATTTGCACCGGAAGCCTCGCTGCAAGCAGAAGCTGCACGGCATCGCCCCGTCACATCGCGTCTTGCGGCCTTTGCACCGCACGCAGGCGGCGGGTGCGCGCGCTCGGTGAAGTTCCGTGTCTTGGTGTCGTAGTTGGATGTGTTTGCGCAAGGAATCCCTGAAACACTGGCGGTGAGCTGAGGGTTTTGATTGGGGTTGGAAAGGCGCGAGACCTACTTTCTGGTAAATGTGGTGTCGCAGTGAGGGCATGGATATGTCCGCGCCTGATGCTTGGCCAGATGCCGGGTGAGATGGGATTTATTGCTGTAAGTTTGGGAGCAGCCCGGCTCGGGGCAAGCGAAGGGCGACGGATGGGTCGACATGAGGCCGGAGTATACTTGGATACTGGAGTTGCGGAAGGTTTCAAGATGTTTGTTCAGGGACAGAGGGTCGATGACCACGTTAGGTAGGTGGAAGCGAGCGGGTCAGCGAACGGGTTGCCGACGAGAATTGAATAAGCGGGGAGCCAGAGAGCCGGGCCGAGGTCGCGCTAGTGGGTTTAGTCGTGTCCATCCTCAAAACGCAGTTGCAGAAACACCAAACAACGACCGAGTGAGTGAGAGTTCTTTGAATTCCTACAACAGCCAAATCGAACCCTATAAGTGTGTGAGTTGTAGAAACTGTGACAGAGACGGTATCTCTGGCTACATGTGGAATTCTTCTTGCAATTTTGAACCGGCCACGAGAACTCAACCGGACCTCGGGTTTCAAATCTTTACTCTACCGATGACCGACCGGCTCTTTCGATTTTTATATTCTCAACTGCTGTCCAACGCAGAAATGCAAAAGGCAACAGTCGCTGGTATTTTGGTTTAAGAAAAATGTTGAGCAGTTGGGAATCCAACTTCATTCAGCCAGCTTCCTCAGGTACCCCCTGTCGAATGATTATATTGTCAAATGCAATGCAACCTTCAAACCGCAGTCACACAAAAAGCACGCGGAGGTCGTGACACCGCATCAAAACAATTAAAAAGCAATCAACAACTTCCACTGAGCAATGCGATGTGTATTCTAGCATTTAACTCCTCAACCAAGCCTTTTAGCGTTGCCGATGAACCGAGTGCTCGGCTGTAGATCAATCCGTGGACATGACTGGAGTAACTATTTACTCCGCGCGCTTAACCACATGGGCGGAGAGATGTTTCTCGGGTATCGGCACTGAAGAATGTCCTCATCGAGCTATTGTGGCTTATGACACTTAATCCTACCCTTGAAGTTGCAGTTGTGTATCCACCCAGATATACCTAGCATGTGTGCCGACGAAGCATATGACGGCGTTGGAAGCTCTTGCTAACTACCGAGGACTGGCCCAGTCAGCCGTTGCCGGTTTGGAACCTTAGAGACAGCTTTGTGTGCACTGTGTAGCTGGATATGGCTGCCCCGAGATAGCTTCAATGCCCCTATGAATTTGTAAATATTTTTAGCTGAAGGGATTTTCTTGTGGAGTCTTTTCAAGCATCGCCCGGCATTGGTTCTCTGTTGGGGATGTTTCTAAACTGGAAGATGAAACGAAACGAGGTCAACAGGGCCTCTCAATTTCCGGGGACATGTCAATGCCCAATAACTTTATCGAAACCTGAAGCATTGGTACAAAGTACTAGCATTGGGATGCAGCTTCCATACCTACCTATCTCCCTTTGAACGAGCAGTATTTGTAACAATGACATCAACCCCCAAGATGTCGTTGACTACCAGTAGGCGACTCCGGGTAGGAAGAATGTGTGACAGGTTGGTTGGTTCTTCAACCAGCGAAGCCCCTATGTTCAGAAGGATTCCGAACTGTCCCAAGTGAAACGAACGCATATGGAGCTGTTGACTCGAGAGCGGAGCCTCTTCATCTGCACCGTGTTTTGGAGTACGATTGCTAGCGTGATGCGACAATGTTGCTATCAGCTACTCGGTATGCTCTTGTCTACTTCTGGTCCATGTCCGAAATTCCAATAGGTACCCCTGACGACGTGGCCGTCGGATGTGGAGGTGCGAGTATTCCGGAGTCGACATTCAGGAGCCCCGTGGTGGCGCTAGTGGCATGAGTCAGCCGCCAGTCCGAGCGGGTGGCGAAACTCTTTCTCTCCAACGTCAGGCCTGCCAGGCAGGGGCCTAAATCGCTCTCGAACAACCATCACCGCTCCGTCAAGTGTACGCCATGTACCTGCTCTCGCTCGACCAGGTCTATGCCGACTGCCGTCTGGGCTGTCAGCAGCGTGCGTCGCGGGGTACGTCTTCCCCCGCATAATCCGTACATATACGGATTGAACAGCACGTGGTAGGTACTTCAATCGATGCCCGCTGGCTCAAACCGTATCCGGAAATTCAAAGGGATATCGCGACTGGATTCCACCAAGCATCATCGAGAGTTGGTGCGGAGGCGCACGGGCAACCGCACGCTATGATGAAACGTCAGGTTGTGCGCCCTGGGCGCCTGTTTCGACTTCGGCCTCCTATTCGACGCGGCAACCAGTTCTCATCGGCACACGGACCGTAGGCCCTATTCCAACGGCACACCTAAACCGCCTCCAGACACCCATGCCGAAATGCAATCTATATCTGTCAGCTTAGTCGCCGAAAAGAGTGAGGCCTGGTCTGGCCCGTCGTCTCTGATAGGCGTGCCAGCGCCACAACCACCCCCGAAATGATTGTCACTGGTTCTGGAACTGCAAGGGCCGGCTCGCCTCGAGTGTCAAGCTCACCGCTAAGCTTTCCCAGGCCTCTGAACGTTGGCTTGAACGGAGGCCAAGCTTCGGCAAGCCGGATACTGATCTGTGGGCAATCAATCTACCTTGTCGGTACTCCGTAGCACTCCATTTGCCATTGTGCCATCAGACTACCTACGAGCCAGGGAGGCCACCGTGGGGAAATGAGTATATATACCTCGAGCTGGTGCCCACCTCAGTCGTTTTCTTAACCAGTCCTTCCTTTCGATTCTCATCCTTCGCTCTCTTCACTTCAACCAAACCCACTTTCAAAATGGTCAACGCAATTGCTGCTGTTCTCCTCGGCGCCGGCGCCCTCGTGTCTGCTGCTCCCTCGAGCCTCGACACTCGTGCGTCCTGTACCTTCACCGACGCCGCGTCTGCGATCAAGGGCAAGACCTCCTGCACGACCATCACCCTCAACAACATCGAGGTTCCCGCTGGCGAGACCCTCGACTTGACTGGCCTCAAGTCCGGCACCGAGGTCATCTTCCAGGGAACCACCTCCTTCGGCTACAAGGAGTGGGAGGGCCCTCTCATCTCCGTTTCCGGCACCAAGGTCACCGTTTCCGGTGCCTCCGGCCACGTCATTGATGCCAACGGTGCCAAGTGGTGGGACGGCAAGGGCGGCAACGGTGGCAAGAAGAAGCCCAAGTTCTTCGCTGCCCACAGCTTGAAGCAGTCCACCATCAAGGGCCTCAACGTCAAGAACACCCCGGTCCAGGGCTTCTCCATCAGCAGCTGCACTGACCTGACGGTCGACTCTGTCACGATTGACAACAGCGCTGGCGACGTCACCAACGGCGGCCACAACACCGATGCTTTCGATGTTGGCAACTCTTCGGGCGTCACTATCTCCGGCGCCAACGTCAAGAACCAGGACGACTGCCTTGCCATCAACTCCGGCTCGGACATCACCTTCACCGGCGGTACCTGCTCCGGCGGTCACGGTCTCTCTATCGGTTCCGTTGGCGGTCGTTCCAACAACGAAGTTAAGAACGTCAAGATCCTCAACTCGACCATCAAGAACTCGGACAACGGTGTCCGCATCAAGACGGTTTCCGGTGCCACTGGCTCCGTGTCGGGTGTTACTTACTCTGGTATCACTCTGTCCAACATTGCCAAGTATGTTTTTACCTTACTGCTACTAAAGACGCATTTACTAACATTGAATCAAAGGTACGGCATTGTGATCCAGCAGGACTACGAGAACGGCTCGCCCACCGGCAAGCCCACGACGGGTGTTCCTATCACCGACCTGACCATCTCCAACGTCAAGGGCACGGTCGCCTCCTCCGGCACCGACGTCTACATCCTCTGCGGTAGCGGCTCCTGCTCCAACTGGAAGTGGTCCGGCGTCTCAGTCACTGGCGGCAAGAAGTCCACCAAGTGCAGCGGCATCCCCTCCGGCTCCGGCGCCTCTTGCTAAATGGTCTAGCTCGCTTCCGCGCTGAGCACGGCCCTGGCATCGGTTCGCTGGGATATTGCGCGACAGACTGCTTGCTAAATCGCCTCTTTTGGCCATTGTCCTGCAACCTTTTTCCTAATACTTATCTTGTCGAGCTAGTCATGGCGAAGACAATTGTCTGCTTTTTCTATTAGGCGCTAGTTATAAACTAAGCAGTCTTTGCGACGTATTGTTCTTCATGCTACTGTGCAACGTGCTCATTTTGTGAAGCCCAACCATCATCATAAATAGTCATCAATTTGCCTAATGCGTTTCAGAAAAAAAGCTGATACAGCGAGACGTCATCCTTCCACCACAGCATCAATCACTCCATGGTCAAGACAGCCCTGAACCTGACCTTGCCGCTCAACATATGGTCGGTAGCATCCTGGACCTTGGCGAGCGGAAACTTCTCAACCAAGCACCTGACACCCTGCAGCTGCGCGAACGCAATCGCTTCCTCCGCGTCGAGCGCGTGGCCTGCTGGCCAGCCGTGCACGGAAATCCCCTTCATGATTAGCGTGCCTGTGTTGACTGCGACGTCGCCAACAGCTGCATTTGATACACCCAGTCAGCCAAGCCGAGTCACGTCCTGTGCATAGGAGTAGGACTCAGAACTTACGCGCCAGAATCAGGACCTTGCCCCTCGCCGCACACCCCTCAACCAGCCGTCCAACAATACGCGCATCCGGCGCCGTGACGACGACAAGGTCCGCGCCACCCAGCTTCTGCAACGCTTCAACGGTGTCTTCCTTGCTCGCATCAATATAGTCCGTCGCGCCAAGCTCAGTAGCAAACGCCTTCTTCGCGCCGTCTCGCGACAGCGCGACGGTGCGGTAGCCCATCTTGCGCGCGTACTGCAGCGCTAGGTGGCCGAGGCCGCCGAGGCCTTGGATCGCGACTGTGCTGCTTGGGGGGACCTGCATGTTGCGAATGGCGTTGAAGACGGTGACGCCTAGGGGGTGGTTAGACATGCAATGTGTGTTGGGCGGGGGTTAGGGGGGAAGAGTGTACCGGCGCAGAGGAGGGGCGCGGCTTCTGCTGGGTCGATGTCGCTGGGGATGCGGACGACGGCTTCGGAGCGCAGGAGGCTGTACTCGGCGTCTGCGGAGGTAAGCAACTATGGAAGTGCAGCTGGGGCAGTGGAACACGCACACCCGCCGTCACGCGTGATGCCGTTGGCGGCGGCATTATCGCACATCTGGAAGAAGCCGCGGTTGCACTGCTTGCAGGTGCCGTCGTGGCCGCCGTGCCAGGCTCCGCCTGTGGTGTTGTCGTCAATGATTAGTGTTTGAATGTAAGTGCATGGCAGACTGGCAGTGAAGAGTGACGTACCGACGCGGTCACCGACTTTCCATTTCTTTTCGCCGGGACCTGTGGCTACTACATCGCCTACCATCTCGTGGCCGAGGACGCGGGGGCTGCAGCCGATTAGTAGGTGGACAGAACGAGTGGGTTATATGATGAGCCTTACGGTGGGCCAAATGCTCCTGTCCGAGCGATCTCGTCGGTGTGGCAGACGCCGCAGGCAATCACTTTGACGAGGACCAATCCTTCGCTCGGCTCATGGAGAGGTACGTCTTGGATTTCGAAGGGGGCGTTGGCGCCCGCGATCACGGCGGCTTTGTAGGTGTGGGGGAGTTGGGGGGACATTGTGGATGTTGTAAGTTTGGTTTGATGCTGAAGAAAGCTGTTCTTAGGATCGCGGAACTGCTTTTATATCTTCGTCTTGGCTTCTTTGTGGCACTGGTATCAACACCGCGCTAATGCCGGCAGTAAAGTCTGGAACTCTGCGGGGTAAGCGTGTGTGCTCAGTGCATGCGGGGACGGAAAATAAACTTTGGAAGGCTGTGCTTTGTAAGTGAGTTCATGCTTGGTAAGTGGCAGTAGCAGCGACGGGAGTTTGTGAGAGGTTACTGGTCAGGATTGGTTGGCAATGCGGAGAAATAAGCATCGCGTTTAGTGAACCGTTGCAGCCCAGTGTGCTAAGCAGAAAGCTTAGTACGACGGGCAAAGGACGTGGCATATGCAGTATGTTTAGTCAACACTTCGTTATCAGTGACACAGTGTGGCTTCCTGCAAGCTCCGACCAACATAGCTTAGAGGGGTAATATCCGCCACCGTCTTAAAGTGAGTTTGGGTGGCCAGTAGGGTGTTTGTTGGCGCCACCTGGGCTTGTCAAAGGGTTGCGGGGGGGAGGTAATAGGCTCTACAGACTAAGGGAGAAGCAGATATTTAGGGGAACTCTATCCCCGTGGAAGCCAGTTATGTGAATTACTGATCTTTCGAGCTGGCGCTGACGCTGATGTCCTCTCCGTGCCACGTTATCACCCTCTGCAGCTCATGCACCCTTTTCGCGCCGGGAAGCATGACCAAAAACGTCTTCCAAAGATCTCTTCTGAGGTTAGTGTAAGATATCTAGGGTTTATAATCGGAAGAAGTGTAGATCACGGACTTTGGACACCAAATGTTGTGGGATTAAGAAGTTTGGTGTCAGTAGAAAACTTATGTAGCCGAAAGGTGTTTAAAGTAGCAGCGTTTATTTGAGAGAATGGTAAATATCTGTGGCAAAGATGCTTTGTATTCCTCTTAAAGTTGAAAGAGTGAAATGGAATAGCATAGATTAGAAAATAATACCACTCAACAGAAGAGTGTTTTCACAATTTGATTATACACAACACACCGATCACATCATCCCACTTACCGCTACACTCCCAAGCCCCTTGTCCTCAACTCTCCCACCAAATCCTTGAACTCCTCATCTCCATTCTCCGCGCGCCTCTCAAATTCTCCAAAGTTTTCTTTTGCCCATTCCTCGTCTTTCCCTGCTTCCGGCATGTTAAACCCCCACTTGTTGCCGGCCACGATATCCCCCAAGATGAAGATCAAGTCGAGTTGAATAGATTTTTCGGAGAAGATCTCTTCCCATGCGGACCGTAGCTCTGAACAAAGCTTGTTGTAAGAAGAGCGCGGGCGTGAGGGGCCGGAGCGGACGTGGGCGTGGATGGCGTTAACGGTTTTCTTTAAGGTGTAAGCTAAAGAAGAACAGTAACTGAACTACAAAACTTGATTGACGTTTTAATTAAAACCAATGGCGATAATAATTCAACTGAATTTCTTAGTGATTAAAGTGGGATCTATGGGTCTTTCAGGACGAAAGGAGAGATGACAGACTTACAGCTTTGCCGCCGACATAGTACGGCGTAGAGGAGACATCTTCAAACTTCACATTGACAAAGGTGGAAGGAGTAGTAAACAGATCTGAATGTGTTTTCGTGATTGCAGCAGCAAGCTCATCTCGCTGTGCAGGGGAAATGGAGTCTTTGTGAGAAATCAAGTAGAGAGGCATTTTGATGCGTTCGCAACACTACTCTTGAATCGATCAAAGGATAAAAAATGATACTTTGAGTTGAGGGACAGTTATGATTACTCTTCAAGCAGTTGATGCTTAGAGTTGGTCGTTTACTGATCACGGTTTGCAAGCTACAACGGATTTGATGCTAGTGACGTCAGTATACAGCGAATCGTACTGCGGGGTCAAGGGTCGCCTTGCAAACCCCGGAATCCTCCCCACATCCCCGCGTTCTGAACAACAACATCGCGATTTGTTGCATCAATTCTACGAGTGTCCCGATGTTATTGCCTACACTCCAGGCACAAAGAGTACTTTGCCATGGAGTAAGCTGGCTTTGAAGAGCCAAAGCCAGTGTGAGCGCACGTTTGGGCCGCCGCTGTACCTGGATCCTTCCACGACCCCTGTCCATCGCAGCTCGACGGCGTGATTGCTCCAAACATAAAAGACTGCGTGATGTGGTAGATGGCAGCGCATCAAAGCCCGGTCTGGAATTCAGCTCAGTTCGTATTTGTGTCAGGCCGCTAACGGGTTTTAACAGCGGAAGGATCGGTGCGACCTCGCTTGGACAAATCAAGTCGCCTTTCCGCTCACGTGTCATAAGCTTACATGCTTATATACGCACCGATTGGTCTGCTTAGCGGTGTCAGCCCATGAGGAACATTTGAAGAAACAATGGAACGGCCGTGTGTAAGGTTACTTCTCGTTTAAAGGTGGCTTCGCGTGTATGCGAGGTGCCGCTTGGCGCGGAGAAGAGGTTCAGGTATAAATATGGGATGTTCATCAGCATACTCGTTCATCCAATACTATTGGCACTTTGTCTTAAATCTATCCATTCGGCCGAAATCAATCCATTTGACAATGTTGTTTCTTACCACCGTTCTCAGCACGCTTGCCCTGCTCTCTGGCAGTGTCCTGTCTGCTGAATTTCAGTTAGACAGCATCTACTCCTCCAGACGTCAGTCAAATAACCTTCATTTCGACATTTGGGAAGACAACCCCCTCAGCAATGAAACTGCGAGGTGCGAATCGAGCTGGAATGTCCAGAAGTTGAATTGGCCGACGGAATACGTAAGAAATGCACTTGTCCATAGTATACAAACGACATCCACTAAGTCTATCCAGATTGCTTGCGGCGAGTCGACTTCCTGGAACTGGTACGTGACCAACTGGACCGTTTACAACTTCACCTTGGAGTTACGGCACAGCTTCAGCGACCCCAGCACTCAGTAAGTCTCTCACTCTTTCTTCGGTCTCAAGTACTGACTGACTACTTTCTAGAACATTCCATCAAAGATTCGCCCGCTTCGTGGAGCCACACTATAGCACTTGCAAATACGTTGGCCAAGGCGTCACCAACTGCAACTTTCCGTCTGGGGCTGCGGAGGTCTATGATGAGAAAATAACTCCCTTGGAATAGAGATCAACTTGACATGCTTGTGTACACAGTATGAAGACAATTTCAGAGACAACGTGTCTATACATACCTACATAAATTTCAATTTTTAAAGTTGTTACACAACAAGAGCGAGGAGAAGACGATCAATGAATACTGATCTCGGACATAGGTGAAGGAATCATGTCTATACCGCTATCTCGGACTTAAGTGAAAAAGAAAAGGTCAACACCGATGTCTCGGACTTAGGTGAAGGAAAATGTCAACACCGATTTCGGACTTCAACAAAACAACAGCTCCACACGTGATTCGCACGTGCTCGCCACCTGGAGAGTATATATAGTCTAGCGCGCCCCTCTTTGCGTACGTGTTTTTCGCCTTCTGCAAATCTGACAACTACACCATGGAGCGGATAAGCGCCGGAGCGGCGTGGCTTTCTTCTGAGCTCGGCTTCCAAACAGCCTTGCACGCTCCGCGAGATGTGCATATTATTTTTCTCACACGGTTCCTTCGCATGTTTGCCTACGGCTCTGCGGCCCTGATTTTGGCGCTGCATTTCTCAGCCTTGGGCATTTCCGATACGCGCATCGGCTTATTTATGACTCTGACGCTGCTCGGCGATGTTGCTATCAGCTTGCTGCTCACACTTGTGGCTGACGGGCTTGGCCGGAGGCGCATCTTGCTTTTCGGTTGCGCGTGCATGACGCTGTCCGGCCTCGTCTTCACCATCTGGAGCAATTATTGGATTCTCCTGCTGGCGGCAATTATTGGAGTAATCAGCCCTTCGGGCAATGAGATCGGCCCATTTCGCGCAGTGGAAGAGAGCACGTTGGCGCATATCGTGGCCGAGAAAGAGCGTAGCGACATTTTCGCCTGGTATGTCGTGCTGGGGACCATCGGCACAGCGAGCGGCTTCGCCACTTGCGGATGGATGGTGGAACGATTGCGCGTCAAGCAATGGGACGATGTTGATGCTTATCGGGCGGCATTCTGCCTTTATGCAGCTATTGGGCTGATCAAGGCAGGACTGACACTGCTCCTCAGCCCAGCATGCGAAGCGCAGATTGAGAATAAGAAAGATACAGAGGAAGTGGGGAGACATGATGAACAGCAAGAGTCGCTCCTGCAACACGGGGACAACGCAGAGGACGAGGACGAGTCCCCACCGCGGAGCGACCCGCCGCGACCAACGGCAACGAAATCCAAATACAAGCTCGCACAACTGTCCCCGGAAACCCGCTGGGTGCTCTTCAAGCTCTGCGCACTCTTTTTCGTCGACAGCCTCGCCTCAGGCATGGTCCCTCACTCTCTGACAAACTTCTACATGGACCGGAAATTCCACCTCCCCAAATCCAGTCTCGGAACCATCATGAGCGTCATCAGCTTCTTCTCCAGCACCAGCACCATTTTCGCCTCAGCCATAGCCAAGCGCATTGGTCTCGTCCGCACAATGGCTTTTACGCACCTGCCATCCGCCATCTTCCTCATGCTTTTCCCCGCGCCTTCCACTCTGTGGCTCAGTGTCGTTCTGCTGGCGGCGCGTGCGGCGCTCGCAAGCATGGACCAGGCGCCGCGGTCCGCGTTCTTGAGCGCTGTCGTGCTGCCCGAGGAACGCACGGCGGTTATGGGCATCGTTAACGTAGTTAAGACGCTGAGCCAGAGCGGAGGGCCCAGCTTGACGGGCGTGCTGGCTGGAAATGGCCGCTTCTGGGTCGCGTTTGTGATGGCGGGTGCTATGAAAACGTGCTATGATATTGGCTTGTTGACGTTTTTCTTGGGCCATGATGTTAGTGGACGGAGTAAAGATCGGCAAGATGAGCAACAAGGCCAGGAATTGCAGAGTCCGAGAAATTCTGATGTCAGCTTGGGGAGCTTGACCCCGCCGTCTGAAGATTTGGAAGAGGTAGGAGGAAAGCCTGGTGGCGGCAAGGTTACCTTGTAGCTGCTGGGGCAAACGAAATAGAGAATCAAGCTATCTAGATTGTCAATTATGTCAAGAGAGCCATTTACTGTTCCAAAGCAGGTTTACTCATCGAAAAAATCAGCGTAAGTGGAACAAGAGTTCGATTTAAGATAAAGGAAAATCTATGTCTGTCATAAGATTCATTCATGCGTTTGCTAAAGGAAAACTGGAGCGTTGAAATGAAAGTCATCGACTAAGTGCTAGAAAGAAACAGAAGATGCAAAACAAACAATAACGAAGGCTTCCATACAGACCCGCACCTCCCCAAACTTCATGCATCAGACTTCTTGCCGAAAAAACAACTAGATGGACTGATACACGGAATAATCTGGAGCTTTCGTTGATGTTTCCTAGAACGCCGGCTGTTTAAACCACGTAAGGGAACGGAGTCGGTGTAGCATTCCATTCTGGGACGGCGGGTGTCTTGTACCAGCCTGGGGTAACGGGGGTTTCGTATGGTTCTGGGGCGACAGGTGTGACGTATGGTACTGGAGTGACAGGCGTTTCGTACGGTCCTGGGGCAAAAGGCGTTGGTGTTTCGTACCATACCGGGGTGACGGGTGTTTGGACTGCACGTGGCTCCAGAACACTGAAGGAGCTGCTCTCAAGGGCGGAGGCAGTTTGGGACAAAGTCGGCTGCGGGGCATCTACGAGGCTACTCGTAGGAACGGCGACTGTTTGAAATGTGCTTGGCTGCCAAGAGTAGACGTAGCTGCTCGTAGGGACGGGAGCCGTTTGGGAGGTCTGGGCCGTTTGGGAGGTTTGGACCGTCTGGGAGGTGGTCGGCTGCGGAAAATCGACAATGCTACTGGTAGGAACGGCAACTGTTTGGAGAGTACTTGCCTGCCGGGCATACACATAGCTGCTCTCCGGAATGGTAACTGACTGCTGTGCGCTTGGCTGCGGTACGTACACGTAGCTACTCTCTGGAACAGCGGTTGACTGATATGTGCTTGGCTGCGGCACAGGTGAATAGCTGCTTTGTGGGTAGGCTACTGATTGGTATATACTCGGCTGCGGGATGTATCCGATACTGGGCTGCGGGGAGACAGATGCGTGGCCTGATTGTGGCTGCCTCACCCAGATGTCCTGGGCTATACCCTGACCTGTAGCAGGGTTTGATGGTTCTCCAGTTGGGTTTACTGGCGGCAGTTCTGTTGGTTTTCCAGTTGGGTTTACCGGAGGCAGGTTTGTTGGTTTTCCTGTTGGATTTACTGGAGGTAGATTTGTTGGTTTTCCGGTTGGGTTTGCTGGAGATGAAGGGTCTGCTCGTGCGTCGATTTGAGGTGAGCCTTGTCCTGGGACAGATTCTGATGATCCACCGTTTGTGGGTGAGCCCTGCTCTGGAGGTGAATCCAATTCTGCGCCGCCTTGGGATATTCCCGATTCTGAAGAAGGCTGCCCTCCTTGGCTGGGAACCGATACTGCAGCGCTATTAGAAGGTTTCTTCGTCTCGGTTTTTGTAATAGAGAAGTGTGTTCTTACTTCCTGAGCCGGATTCTTCCCAGGCCATTGATACATTGGGGAGCGCGAGCGCTAGAAAGGCCGCTGTCGAAACGAACTTCATGTTGATATAAGATATTTGGAAGGAAGAGGATGGTGTTGGCACTTGTGCGATAGTGTTTTTGACTCTGATGCTGGTGGTGATTGAAGACTTCGACGGCTGTCAAGGCTCCCTTATATATTGCGGACCTAGTAAAAATAACACCAAAGAGGATGTTGGACTAAACTTAGACTTCGCAACAGTATCCTGAAGAGAAAATATGATGGGCTTGCGCCGTCCCCGACGGAGAAGCTTACATGACTTCATGTAGAAAAATATAGATTTACTACTGAAATAACTTCAGCTCTATAACGTTCTCCCACAAAGTGAAGCCGGTGTCTTACGCTTGTCATGTTGGTGGCTTTTCTTACGTAGGACAAAGGCATTGCCCCAATCCTCTCAGTAGGATCGTAATCAGCTATCAGGGATGTCTTGCAGCCGTCAGACTTAACTCGGTAGGCTCTAGTAAGCTTTAAGCAACGAAAACGACTTTATCCGGAGTAAATGTCAGCATTGCCTTTTAAATCAAGCTTAGCGTATACTTAATTGAGTAATGAACGACTAGCACCCTGTCCAACCCAAGTAATGCGGTATAAGCGAACAACTTAGCCTCACCAACTGCTGATATACTCTAAACCAATGACTACTGAGCATCCTATAAACCAAGCAAAACATGATTCGCTAGTATTTATACAGAAAGAAACCGAGTGACAGGCTCGGAAACACCCTGAGGATCTTCAAATACATGCCAGTGACCAACACGAGGCAACACAACGACCTGGCTGCCCGCGATCCTCTCGCCAAGATTCTTACACAAAGCTGGAGGTGATACCTTGTCCTCCTCTCCAGTGATGATCAGCGTTTTGGCCTTGATTGCCTTAAAATTGATTGCCTCTGTGGCTCCAGCAAGCGCAGAACATGCTTTAGCGTACCCTTCGGGGTCTTGGCTAATGAGAGAAAGCCTGATGGCGGAAACCCCCAAGTAATTGCTCTTCTGCGTATGTTGTGAAGTACCGGCGCTGACTACAGCGTCTACCACGGCCAACATTCCCTTGGCTCTCACCTCACGTGCCCGAGCAAGAGAGCCTTGTGAGCCGGCTTCAGGCAGAGGCGATGGTGGGGGTCCAAGCAAAACAAGACTCTCGATAAGGCCAGGGTGGTCGATAGCAAACGTCTCGGCGATGAGGCAGCCCATGGAGTGGGCAATAATGGTGGCACCTCCTGTAATGTTCGCATGTTTGAAGACCTGCAAAAGATCGGAAGAGAATGACTTGATAGACAGAGTGCTGAGCGGCGATGTCGGGGAATGGCCGTGGCCTTCCAGGTCGAAGAGGTGCAATGGCCTGTCTTCAAATAAACCTTGGGAAATCAAAGGCCCCCAGCTTTCGATGCTTCCACCAAGACCGTGCAAAAACACGATGGGCCTGCCGGTGTCCGACCCGGATTTCTTATAGTGCAGAAGCTTTCCACCCACGTCGATAATGCCTTCAGAGACCTTGTGGTTGTTGACTGTGATTGCAGAGTTTTTGAAAGATGGCGCAGAAGGCGTATTGTCAGAGACCTTGTTACGGAGTGTACCAAGTCCAGTGATTGAGATAGCGACCTCGTCGCCGGGCTTGAGGAAAACTGGGGGCTTCCTACCAATCCCCACGCCAGCAGGAGTTCCTGTCGCCAAAACGTCTCCAGACTGGAGGGTCTGTCCCTCCGATATCGTTTTGACAAGGTTGGGGATTGAGAAAATCAGGTCTTTGGTTGTGGAATCCTGCCTGATCTCACCATTTACCCGAGTCTGAACCTGGAGAACCTCGGGTAGGTGCTCCTTTGCAACGGCAATTGGCCCCTTTGGCAAGCTTAGTTAGCTTTGCTGAGGCTGTGTTGTGATAGATGGTGTACATACCATTGGGCAAAATGTGTCCGCGGATTTCCCAATGAAAAATTGCTTGTGATCACGTTGTCTTTCTCGAGCTGTCACATCGTTGACGATTGTATATCCCCATACATGGTCCATAGCGTTGTCTTCGTCAATACGGAACCCTGGTTTTCCAATGATGACTCCAAGTTCTCCCTCGTAGTCCAAACTTTCCGTGAACTCGGGGTGGGAGAAAATTTCATCCCCATGCGCGACAATGGAAGTTGCACGCTTGGTGAAAATGACTGGGTGGGAAGGCTGATCAATCTTGTCAGAGCTATCGTAGCCGGATTGATTGAACTCTTTTGCATGTTCGACGTAGTTTTTGCCGACGGCAAGCACGTCGCGGCTCCAAATAGGGGCAAGGAGCCTGACGGAGGAGGCTGGAATTGGCTCATCAGAACGCTTGATGTGGGATTCTCCAGCCTCAACGACTTGGTATAGATCTTTGACAGGGGTTCCTGAGAGGAAGCTCAGTGGCTGAATGGTATCCTTTTGTAAATCATAATGGCCAATGCGCGGCTGGGAAGTGGGAGGGTCCAGATAAGCGGCATAGTGGATGGCAGCCATGGCGTAGAAAATCCGGGTTCAGAGATGGAAAAGAGCAAATGAAATATCGCGAGGTTTATTCTCGAACATACGAAAAGCTTCGGATACTGTCGTTTTTAAGTGCGGCGGGGTACGCGTTTATTCCCGCCATCTCCGCACAGACCCCACTCTACATTTTCGTCATTATCTACCAACCCCACCACTCCAACTCAGCTACATGTTCCGCTTACTTGGGCTGCGGAGAATGAACCCGCTACCCCTGCCATCTCCGCGCTTTGCCAAATCTTTTCCCAAACTTTTACTGGTCCTACAGGATAGTCCTACAGTATTCCTTCCTGTCATTAATAAATATTAATTCGGCAAATCACGCAATTCTCTGTGAAGTCACGTATTTTTCTTGATTTTTTGAACCGATCATCCCTAAATATTTTTCCCCAACAAAGTCAATGTCATGATCATTTTCAGCTCACCAATCCTGCGCCGAATCCGAACAAGAAAATGTAGTCTTTGTTGTTATCAAGGCAAACCGTGTGTCAGGAAATAATAGAAAACAAGAAAGTCTGATAGCTAAAAGGACTTTTGCGGGAATTCTTCATGGACTTTAGAAAGCGCATTGATCAGAATAAGAAAGCATTGCCAATTTGTCAAGCAGCAATAGAACAGCATCAAGCCCTAAGTATATTCCCTCCTACCAGCTTTATAAATCCGTCCATTTATAACAATGATGTTGATCTTATCATGGTTCTGTAAGAGTGTTATATCTTCCAAAGGATCACCATCGATAAGTATGCAATCGGCGTAGTAGCCAGGAAATATCTTTCCAAGCTCATTCTCTCTCATGAAAAGCTTCGCAATGCCGCTAGTAGCAGCAATAAGAGCTTCGTGCTCAGTGAATCCGAGTAATCGGACGAAGTGCTCGAGGTCGCGGGCGTACGTTCCGTGAGGTGTCCACTGGATCCATCAGTACTTATGCTTTGCAACCGTGAATGAGAATCGACGTAAAATATAACTCACTGCAAATCCGTAATCCCCACCCGGTAAAACAACAATCCCTCGACGGTGCATTTCTCGCATTGCGGCGATTGCAGCGTCAAGTTCCCTCTTATACCCCGCCTTCTCCGCTTGTGCTTGAGAGTAACCGAATGACTCAGCCTCGGTGAGGGTTGCCACCAACCAGTTAATGGCTGGGGCTACAACTAACTGAGTTTTCTTTTCCTCAAGCATGCTCATTCCTAGGCACCGAGCGGGAAACACTTGAGTTAGCAATTTACAAGGCAGCTTTTGTAAAATTATACCGTACCTTCATCATCCACGAAAGAAGCATGGTAAACAACGTCGACTCCATGCTCAGCGCACAACTTCACTGCGTCCCGGGAACGCGCATGCGCACAAACCCTCTTCCCGAACCGGTGTGCTTCGTCGACACAAACCTCCGTGTCTTTATCTGTGAAATAGCACTCTTCGGCCGGCCTTGTTCCAGTGATCTAGTAATAATCAGTCAATTAGGCAATTAAAACTGTTCTGATTCCTAGGAAAAATTATACCTCTTCTCCGGACATACTTAGCTTAACATTATCGACACCAAGCGCAATATGCTCCCTGATTACATTGCGCAGTTCTTCTTCCCCCTTAGCGATGGCAGATATTCCAGCAACCAATTCACCGTTCGTCTTGCACACTTCCTGGCCATTGGCTAGATAGCGGGGTCCAGGGAAAGCACCGGCGTTGATCGCGTCACGGATCACGACATCCAGACGCTTCTTTGCGGAGGCGGCGCCAAAGGCCATAGTATAGCCAGAGTCGAGGAAGCATCGGGCGCTTTTCACCGTGACCAACGTGTGTTCTTCAGTCTCAAGCTCACCGAGCCTACCCAGGTCCCCACCTGTACGAGATATAAGCCGAAGGAAGTATCGAAGCAACTGAGTGCTCACCGTTCCAGGTGAAATGAGCATGCGCATCTCCAAGGCCAGACATCAATGTTCTGCCTTTGCCTCGGAAGACTCGGACTTCAGGATCTTTGAGAAGTTTGTCTTTGTTCGAAACTGTTCCTACTTCCAGTATTCTCTCACCTATATTATGGTCAGCTGTAATGCTTTGTATAGTTTAATTCACATACGAAATAACTTCATGTACCCTTGATGTAGACATCGCCACGATATGGCTCGCGGCCGGTCGAATCGAGGATATTCACATCCGTGAAAAGTAACTGTGAGGAAAAGCGGGTACCAAGAATTTCGTATATTTTAGGCGTAAGCGAGGAATGAAACTTGAGCTCATTGATAGGGCTGATGTTTCGAGGAAGCCCTTCGTGAATTGAGGGTTTTGATTGTGTGTCATTTGGCCATGAGATGGTCGACTCTGGGGCTACTGATGGAGTCATGGTATGATATTAAGCGGATGGCCTAAAATGAAGACAGAGCCTGGGAAAGGTTGCGCTCTAGCGCTTTGCTAAATACAGCTTCGTTTCGCTTACATTCAAATTTATGAACATTCAGCTGTGATATGATGCGGGGTAGTGAACCTATTAAGGCGATGTGCATAGAAGCGGGGAAAGGACAGAAGTCCGCCTTGCCCGCTATCTCCGCACATAAGAACAAACCTGGTTCTTATCAGCCGATAATGCCCTGCCGAAGTAGCGGTTGCCTAGGGCAAGAAGCCTGATGATCATCTGAAGTGCCCATTTGGAAAGTTAAAGTGATGAGGTAGAAGAGTCAACGTAAGCAAGAACAACATAAGGAGAGCAAGTTAAGGGTCGCTTACTTATTTGTTATTGACCAGTGTTGTATCTCTAGTGATGGTGAGGTACCGCTCAGTTCTTTATTTTGCTGCATGTTCCTGGTTATACTGGCTTGGAAAAGAACCACCCTATTTTTACAGGGTCTGCGCTAAATCTTTTATATCCGACAACTAAATTTTCGTGTTGTACCTGTAAATAAACACTTTACTAGATCTCTAACGGCTACGTCATCAATATAGGATACTAAAGCTCCACTGGCCACTTCATTCGTATCAGCTCACCATACTTGAAAAATATGACGGGCAGCGTGGTGAAAGCGACCGCAAGGAATCCTAACAGCGAATTTCCCCAACCAAGGTTAAGTGTTTCATAGAGTTTAGGGCCTGCGAGAGGCAAGAAGCAGGCAGCAAATGCGCGAAGAACGGTATTGGCTGCAAGTGCAGAGGCTGCAGTTACTGGTCCAAAAGCATCCACTAGGTAAAGTTGAATTGGCAACTGGAAGAGTCGTTAATGCAACAGCTTCATGCCTGCCAGGAGCAATCACTTACCATAATGGACAAAGACCCGAAACCAATCCAGGCGGTGCCAATAATGGGTAAGATCCAGTGCGTCGAATAGTAGGCCGCCCATCCGTACCAGAAAAAACCTATTGGCCATGCAGGTGAGAACCACATCATGATCAGAAAGCGTCCTTCAGGCTTCCACTTTTCCCCTTTGGCCTTGGCACGCGCATTAACCACCTTGTCAGATAGCATGCCAAATGCTACCAAGGCTATAAGGATCCCAACACCCAATCCCAGATATGCAAGGCCAGAAATGCTTTGGCTCCAACCATATTGTTCCTTGTAGACGTTCGGAAACGTTGTGATTAACAAAACTTGCAAGCCGAAAACAAAAGCGGTGAAAATAGAAAGAGCCATGACAATTGGCGACAAGGTAAGCATCTTGATTGGCCGAACGATAGCACGCCGCAAGGTTTGCAGCGTTCCAGGCTTTTTGTCGTAATTGGTACACAAAGCGTAGTTCCCGGTCTCTTTGCGAAGTCGAGCAGCTTTGCGTTGAAGGAGGAGCGGAGCATACGTTTCTCGCATAAAGAAAACGGCGCATAATGTAACGATGCTGGTCTAAAGAATATTAGTACGAACATAAAATGGAAACTTAGTATGTAACCATACTGCAATAGAAAGAATCCGAAATATCCAGCGCCAGTTCAAGTGTTCCACAACAAATCCATTTATTATGGGACCAATGACAGGACCCATCAAAGGTCCAAGGCCATAGAGAGCCATAGCGCCTCCTCTGCTCTCTTTGGGCATAACGTCCGCAATTGTTCCGCCGCCGATGGTGGCCGGACCAGACCCAGAGATGCCAGTAATGAACCTGAACACCAGGAATACAGCAACATTAGGAGCTTGGGCACATGCGTTGAGGAAAACAATGGAACACGTTAGACAGGTGTAGTAAACTGGGAGACGGCCGTAAGTCTCTGACAAGGGAGCAATGACCAGCGGACCAAGCGCAAATCCTAGTAGGTACAGGGTGACCGTCAAAGTCTCCAAAGTCGAGTTGGTGATGTGAAATTCGTGGGCCAGAGAGGAGGCGGCTATCGCGAAGCCAGTGGAGCCGATATTAGACAGGAAGGCTGTTGTACCAGCTACTGCGACGTGCCCGAGGCGTATGGATTTCTGCCAGTTTTGCGGAAAGTTAAGATCGTCCTGGCCATCCCAGTCGACGATATTTGAATCGCTCCGTTGTGATTCGGGCAGTCCGGCTTCTGTGTCTTGGAGTAGGCCGGGGTCTTAGAATTGGAAATACAGGCTTGACTGTCTTCTGGCGAAACATACCGTAGCTCATAGTGAAAGATTGTGTAGATAAGAAGATGGAGTCTGGCGTTTGAACATACTATAAATCCCGATGACCGGAGCGGAGGGTCGGAGCGGAGGGTCGGGACGGAGGGTCGGGACGGAGGGTCGGCCAGCGGACGCCCGCGTCCGAGAGGCTTGATTGATTGATTGATTGATTGATTGATTCGTTTTACGTCTATATGCAGTTGGAAACTATGACGGACGGTCCGTTTAGGACTGGCTAGGGGGTTTAAATATAAGATAAAAGCGAGGTGGTGCGAGGGATGGTTGGATCTAGGCCGAGGTAATAAAAACGAAGGAAAGAAACGGGTTTTTAGAGAAGATAGGATGATAAGGAGTGGAACGGAATTATAGGTGTTTTACTCCCCCTCGGGAAGATCGTTGAGGCGC